TGGCTGGGGAATTCTGGGAGTTGAAGTCCACCCATCGTAAAGTGGCCAGAATGGTTTTGGCACAGGGGAAAACTCAACAGTAGAGGTTTGGGGCAACTGTCCCTGCAGAAATATGGAGGCAAAATCAAATTGATGGAGTTTGTGGGCCGGTAACAAGGTTTATGGGGGAAAAAGTCAAGAGTGTCCACAGAGAGGAAGGGAAAACTGAAAACAGCTGAGTTTGGAAAATTGGTAGGGGTGCCTTTGAAGGTCCCTTATAAGAACTCCTTTTGGCTCCTCCTGGGCTGGAAAGCATTCATCCTGAGGCTCAAATTAAGAGACTGATTAATCACAATCTAGAATATAGACGAGATTCAAGCCGCCGTTGACTCCTCTCCGGGGTCCAAGCCAAGCGTAAAGCTGCAGTTCTAAAAATCTTAAATCTTCAGCTGGCACGGAGATCCATCCACAAATATTTTCCCCGTGACATTTGCCCTCTGGGGAACGGCATCTCGGCTGAATTCAGGGTTGCCAGCTTTTTGATCTTGGAAAGATTGCCCGCGGGCTGTGAATCCGGGCAGGCCGATCTCGTCCGAGAAGAGCCACGAAGCTAATCTCTGCCACAACGGCTTCTGTCAGATCTTCTGGCTTTTGGGAAGGGAGATACAGCTTTGGTCTTTCAATAAGCAAATTGCGCTTTTAGCCATTGGCATTCTGTAAAAATAGATATTATTTCTCTTTGGGTTATGGTACGTTCTCTTGGTTAACACTGAGGAGGAGAAGTACAGTATATTCAGAAAAATATAGGTTCCTTTGGTATTCGTGGGACTAAGCCATTTGTTGGGCAAAGCCATATCTGATGCTTCCTTTTTTTTTTTTAAAAAGAGTGTTTTTCGGTTTGGCTGCAGAGCTTTACCGGCCAAGAGAACGAAAAGGAAAATTTTGACCAGCCGTTCCCAAGCTTGTTCAAGAAAGGACGGAGGAAGACGGTGGTGCGGAACCTGGGGAAAATTATCTATTATTCCAAAGTCAAATTTAAATTTCAGCACTGCCAGGTGAGAACCCATTTCCCACGCGTGAAGCTTCAGAAGGGCTTGTGACTCCTTGGTGTGGGGGTCTCCTTCTTTTTATATCGTTCAGTTGTGAACCTAGATTCAGCGCGAGCCCCCCGGAAGCACGACTGAAGTAAACTAAAAAATCTCCACGTCTTTTCTTTGGCAGGAAGTCAACGATTGCTATTTGGAGCTCTTTCAAGAGTACCTCTATTTTCAGTCCCTCGGCCCCAACGTTCACGCCTGCCAGGTAAAAGAGGGTTTGGTTATCCGTAAGGAGAAAGAACAGCCACAGAATCGGGAAAAGCTGCTTTTATGGGTGTGTAGCGGGTCTGCAAGAGGTTCCATTTCCAGGCACAGCATGGAAAATTCCCCACCTGAAAACCCCAAAGCCAGTCGTGGTGGAAGATTAGCCACTCAACAGTCCACGACAAACCCTTGTAAGACACCATCTTATGCTTTAGAGCACCCCTATTTTTCAAACCAACCTTCCATAGGCTTTGTAGTCACCCCCTCTGTTTCCACTTTCCGACAAGCTGGAGCCGACGTTCCTTTTTATCTGCACAATGACTCTCAGAGGAAGATTCCCAGCCGGGGCGCATCCCGGTCCTCAAAGTAGGACTTTGCTTCCTGGCTCAGCCCCTCTTATAGAAGCAGAAGGAAATTATGGGTTGCAAGGGGGGTTGTGTATCTCCCATTTGACCTGTTTTGAACTACTCGGTTTCTTCTCTCTTTTTTGACCCGGTGACTCCCCCTGACTGGATCCCCATTTTGCTGAGTCCCCTCCCCTGCTCTCTGGCTCATCCCCAATCCAAGTTGCACCCTTTCAAATGCATTCCTCTCTAAAGATGCACACGCCAAGGTCACACAAGGCGAAACACAGCTGGCTGTTGCATGCTTGTGAATCATTCAGTGACACGGGCTATATGATGAAATGGCTCTGTTGTTGTTGCTTTTTAAGGGTGGTTTCAAAGGTTAAATTTTTACACTTATGCAGCCCCTTTGCTGTACCTTTTCTAGGCGGGCCAATCCCCATTCACCTAACCCGCCAATTTTAGAAAAAGTAGACCTGGCTTTGGATAATACATGCTGTGACTTCTTCTCATCACAGTAAACAGAGGTTGGAGACCTCCTTAGACACAGTCTGAGGTTTTTTCATTGCCCATAAACTATAGTTTGATAGACAGACATGAAAAGTGCCTCAATCAACTTTGATAAAGTTCTCGTTATAAAAAAGGAAGGTTTGGCGAAGAACATGAGGTTAACCACTGTCTTCTCCTCCTCCTCCTGAAGGGTTTGCTACCACTGACAGAACTCCAGCTGACCGAACTTGAAAATGAAAACGAGGTTCAAGGAGATCTTCATGCTTTTCAAATTACAGGTGAGAACAATTCCTTGGCTGAGGCTCAGACAATAGGCGAGAAAGGAAAAAGAGCGTGGTTGCCTTTTTTCAGCCATCCATTTGGGTCCATCCAATGAGAATTGGACGGGACCTTGGAGTTCATAAAGTCTAACCTTCGTGTTGAGATGAATGACCCAACCTCTGTTTGAAAGCCTCCAGCCAAGGGGAAGAAAACTCTCCCTGGGACTGACAGCTCTTACTATTGAGAAGTTCTTCCTAAAGTCTAATCCGCGTCTTCATCTTGACGTTTCATCCCATTCGTTCTAGTCTTACACGCCGTGAGTATCACCTTGAGGAACAGGAGGAAGAGCCCCAGCCAGGGCAATGGTCAGAAAGAGAAATCTGAGTCCAAAGCAGGAGTGTAATTTGAGAAAGCCTCTCAGACTTGACCCTCCACAATTCTCTTGCATGTAAAGGCAAGGAGGGGAGAGGCGCATTCAGACTTGCAAGATTATGGCAACCTTATAATAAAAGTAGTCTTAGCATTCATAACTTTGGTTTCCTGGTCTGGACTACCTTGGAGGGCTGACCTCAATCTTCTTCCTGCTCCTCAAGGTGATTCTCACAGCCCCTTATACCCTCTGGAGCAAGGGAGAATAAGTCTGAATCCTCTAAACGTTGAAGCCTTTCAGATATTTGAAGATGGCTATCATGCCCCTTTCAACCTTCTCTTCTGCATCTAAGCATACCTACGTCTTGGTTTCAATACTGGTCCTCATATATCTGAGTGCATCATCTGTTCTTTTAGTTTTACCCTGGCCCAGAAGCACGTAGGCAGGACGCCTAAGCAAACGCGACTCATAGGTGTTCAGCAGCATCCACTACGTGGATCAGCCAACTATCGGCCAACTACGTCACGCTTATTCAACTATCATTCATGGTGGCAGAGTTGCCGTAGCTCTAATGATGACTCAGGAGTTATTCTCCCAGGAAAAGGGAGTCATGACTCAGAACGGGGGAAACAGAGGAAGAGGAAAAAGGGGGGAATGTGATGGACCGGAATAACTGCTAAATTTGCAAACACCAGCTTGAAGGTGTGTTGGTCTAGCTGAGAAGGAGAGTTGAGATCTTGAGTTTGTTGCTCAGAGAAACGCCGGTAGGAAGACAGTAGGTGTTTGGAACAGGAGCACCTGCCTCATAACTGTGGGAGAATCTCTGATCCCTTTCTTGGAAGAAAGGCTAACTAAATTCTGAATTTGCTCTGCACTTCATGTAGGTTTTAAGACCGAAAGATTGCCATCCTCTCTCCTTCAGGAATTCTTTGGAGGAGGCAAAGCATCTTCTCCTTTGTCCCCTGCCCAGTCTCTAGTCAATTGCACATCGGGGCTTGTCCATTTCAAAATTCCTTGCAGTGCTGGTAGAAAAAATCCCCTGCCTTGACTTACAGGTTTTGTTCATTAATTGATTTTATAAATTCGATCGGCGCCGCCCATCCACGAGCAACTCCAGGCGGCTTCGAAAGGCCTACCCCGAAAAGGCAGTAATAAAACAGCAAAGCCACCACTGCTCCAGGGGAAGATAGAAATGCAAATCGCTCCAGCCCAGCACTTGCTGGAAGATTCAGTTTTGTAAGACAGCAGAACTGGAGCTGTACAGACTGAGCCAACGCCTTCCCGTAGTAGCATTGTCATAAGCAAAACCAGCAGTGCCAGAACTCTGAAATGCACTTTGCTCCACAGTCCTCCCAGGGCCAATATATCCAATATAAAAATCATTTTCGAGAAGGACAAATCAGCCCCAGCGTTGCGCGCTCTGTGCATGAATCAGCTGTTGCGCTCAGAGAACAGAACAACCCCATTGTTTATTGCTCCCGTCCCACCATCGTAAACTGAACTACTATGATATTTATCAGGGTGCAACTCGATAAAGGTGTTGGATCATGAACTGAAAAAGCAGGGGTGGGCCATCCAGCCTCAGACAAGAACACCTGAACTTTAAACTGTGAGTGTTGCCACTCCTTAGCTCTGTATATTTCTCCATCTTTTCCGGAGTGCATCATTTAAAGCACCTTCAGCGCGGGTCAGTTTTATATCATTGACGGCGGGGCGGGGGGTTGCTCTGAAGAGGCAGAAATGACCTTCTTAAGGTTTGACTCCTCTCATGTTTGGGGGGAGCCGATGGAAAAAAGATCTCAGATCGACAACAGCCTAGGGGCGGTGAAGAGGAAATGTTTTTCCCTGGTCCGAGATAGCGCTGCCCTTTGGAACGGAGGCGAGCAATTCAAAACTTTATTTTCAGCATTTCAGGCAAAGAGAGGTGGGTGATTTTAGATGGCAAGGGGGAAAGTTCGGCATCTTCCGATCAGCCCCAAGTGGCTTCTTATAACCCTCCTGTAAAAACCCCGACCCGCCCAACGGAGGTGCTCAGCTCAAGTCTGCAATCTAGGAGGGGTGAGAATCTGGCCAAGCAGCTACGGTGACTCAGAATTGTGCTATTCGGTCTGGCACCATTTTCCCACCTAGTTTTGTGCTGACATGCGGTGAATCAGCTCTCGCTGGCCCCCCTAGAGATGTTGGCAGTGCACTTCCCAAGTCCCCTGGTGTTACCCCATTTTTTTCCCCTGCTCCCATTTTTTCACGTGCAAGAGAAACCCCAGGAACCAAGCCGAATAAGGCAGGCTGAACTTAAGTGGTTGTCCTGGGATGAGGTGTTGTCGTTAAGGGGGGAAAGCGATCCGTTTCAGCAGGGTTTGGTTTCCTCTGGAAATTAAAAACATACTGGATGGAGAATCACGAGGAAGAGCCTGGCCAGAACGATGGACAGGAGGACCCATGTCGCCAATGTGTGTGTGCCTCTAACGGGGCAAGGAGTGGGGAGATACCATCTCGCCCTCCTCTGCCTCGCTTTCCCCAAGTTGGCACAACGTGGAAGAAATGTCCCCCCCCCCCACTTCAGAACAAGGGGAAAACATCTAATTATTCTGAGCTTGTGTTCAAACACAGGGCACCGCCAGGCCAAAGTACTCATTCTGTCGATAATGGCTTGTTATGACGGCTTGCTGCGGTCTCGGCTTATCTTGGCGGTCTGAGCACCACCGTTCAGGCCCTGGCAGAGCGGGACTGATATTTGTTTTATTAAGAGGTAGGATAGGAAATGATTAAGGTTAAAGCCGAGGCCTGATCCCGTTGATGGGAACTGGTGTGCGGCTCAGCAGGATTCCCACGCTTATCGCGGGTGAGGGTTGCCACAGGAGACCCAGCTGGGGAAAAGCGGAAACCGGTGGGCATCCTGCTTTCTTCCAGGCCAAGAATTAATGCTGAAGGGTTGCCCAGGCTTCTCTGCAGCAACAGCTCAACAAAAGCCAAATATATTCAGTGGGCACTGAATACTGATTGATGAAGTGCAGGAGGCGCAGAACAGGAATTGTCTTCAAGAAGGGGGAATGGCTGATTCTAGAAAAGGGCCTGGATGCTGGATCCGGACCGTCCCACGCTGCTGGATTTTGTTGCTGGTTTTTTCCCTTGTACCAGTTATTTATGGGTGGGGAGGAATGCTAACTGCCCCTCCCTATGGAGAAATAAAATACAGGCATGGTCAGAAATTATCAGCTTTACACCCTGGGCTTGTTTGCTGAATCTGGGCACCCCGATCCCGGGAATAAATAAACGAAGCTACCTGCTTCAGACAAGGTAAAGTTATGTCAACACAAAGAGGCTGGATGGGGGGACAGCAATGAGGTCCCTTCAGGGACAAGAGGATAACAGGTCTGTTTGACATCTGAATCGTTCGCTTCTTTTGAAAAAGTCTACTAACGTTGAGTCTTTCTTAAACCGTGTTGCTACAGGCAGGCAGGGAGTCAGCTGAAGCTTGGAATGTCCTTCCCCTTCCAAAAAAACAGGACCGCACAGCACCTCAGCAGGAAAAGCCTTTCCATTTCCTGAGTGGCTGGCTTTCTACATGCAGGGCAATAGTTAATAACAGGAAAGCTTCCAGTCATGTTTGCCTTTCGGGTGCAGGGACAAGGACTTCCTCTGTGTGACCTTGCTAAGGACAACCAATCTTTCTTCAGCTCTCAGGGTCAGCTCTGAGTCTGTTTTTTAATTTCCTTTGCAAAAACCTGTGCAAGAACTTAACTGAAATCAACTCAAGGCCTCTCTTGCTCTTCCAGGGCCTCTGCTGTCCCCACTGACGATCTACTGCTCCAGCCAGGCAGAACAGAAGCAGTGGGTCTACCACCTGGAGAAACAAATCCATTTAAACGGAGGACGCCCTGATTTGCCCCTCGCGACTCAGGTGAAGACCTAGAGGTGACTTGGAGATCAGCCATCGCAAATGATGGTGCCAATTCCATATCTCACCACCCTCTGCAAAAGATGGCATTGTTGAGCCATGCAGGGTGCTCTCAATCTAGCTTAAAGGGGAAGGAAGGAAGGAAGGAAGGAAGGAAGGAAGGAAGGAAGGAAGGAAGGAAGGAAGGAAGGAAGGAAGGAAGGAAGGCAGGAAGGAAG